TTGAAGGGAATGCACCCCCGATCTACATAAATGCGTCTATGTTTGCGCGAATCATTCGAGATCCAGCTTCACCTACAGAAGAAGTGAGTGTAAGGTTTTTTTAAAGAATCTTTGCAAATCGCTTTCCTAATAATGTTAGGAAGTTTCACGATGAATGCAGCTAAAGTAAACAGTCTCTCTGAAAGCGGCTCGATTACCCCTTTTACGCACAATTAGAGTGAACCTTCAGAGCAGTTGTGCCTTTGATTGCATCCAGCTGCGGTCTATTCACTTTTTAAAAGAAATTACATGCCATAACTGTCAAAAAAATGCATTTAAAATAATACATATAAACATTTACCAAAATTCCCAACAGCACAGTGTGGATCACTGTTCTCTACCAGCAATCCATACTGTACTATTGTTGGAAATGTGAATGAATGAATGAATGAATGAATGATGCATTTATATAGCGCTTTTGCTAATGTTTATATAGCGTAATCTGCTAATGTTTGCAGATTACCTTGTGGTTGTGTGATGTGGTTTATAAAAATTTAAAGGTGTTTTAAATCCATACCAATGACTCAAGATGTTAACAGACCATGAACACAACCAGAATTCCAACATATCTGGGTTTTTGCACATAACAGCAGCTGTTTTACTGACCATAAATAACTGTCTGTGGGTCAGAGGCTGCTGAACCCTGAAACCACAGTCTATTACAGAAGTGCTGCAATACATTTGCGTAAATCATTGCTATTTAACCAAAACCGCAGGCACTTTAAACAGATTTACCATTATTTATTCAAACAAGGCTCCAGAATGATTGAGGATAATTACATGTTGGACTTGAGGATGTAGCGGCTTGATATTACCTCAATGAAAATGCACGATGAATGTTATTAAGAGCTGATGATTATCCCACTTTTTCATCTCACTGGAAAATCTACACATTACTGTTTCAGTTTGTGTGACCTTTTAAGGATCAGTTCAACAGTCAAGACTGATCATGTTTGCTGTGATACATTTCCAGTAAAAGCTCATTTTGACACAGACCTTTACAACCAAGAAAATCCACTAATTGGTTTCAGGTAATGCAAACAAACAACGGCGGAACAGAACAAAACACCAAGGGGAATTGTAATGAGCTTACCAAGAAATGTTCAGAGCAACAGTCTATTTACCTTTACATGTGTGCTCTGGAGAGCCTTCAGCATTGTGTTTGAGAAAACGGCCAGCCAGCAGGAAGAATTTAAATGAGTCTTGCAGCAGTCATCTTTGTTCACAGTACTGTTTGAACTGAGGTTTCACTCACACAGTTCTGCATCTGACGAGAGGAAATCATTTGTCATAAAAGACAGCTAAAAATAAATATGTGCATTTTTTCTTGATCAAAAAGTTTACAGCTTTAGCCTATTGTAATACAAACGAGTGATCTGACTCAAAATGGGAGTGTGTAAACCAATAATGTGCAACAATAGGCCAGTATTACATGTGTTGCTTTTTTGCTACATGCTGCAAGTGATGCACACACACAAATTTACATTTCTGTATGTGTTGAAAAACTAGTTGAGATGAATTATGAGATTATTTATGCCTGTACACGATTTCTGTTTTTCCCTAAAAAAAAAATAAATAAATAAATTGTTTCTGACATGTACTGGATACTGTATGTGTAGGTTTTTACAGTCGCTAGAGAATATTATTGCGTCATTTCCCATTAAGGAAGTAGGGATTTAAATGTTTTACAGGCCTTAGAAATGGTAACTTTCAACTATTAAAACGTCTGTTATTTTTCATTTGTCAGTTACATTTCACTAAAGCAGCAAGTCTATCCTGACTAATCAAATCAAAAATTCTGACTAATTTAATTAAGCGATTCCTTGTTTTTGGCAGCTAAAAATTTTCGATTGTTTTTCGTATTTCCGCCTTTCATGTGGTCGAAGCTGGTACTGCTACTATAGTCATTTCACGGGATGCAGTGCGCAAGCGATTTAATATAAATTCATAAAACAAACCCAAACGACACAGATATCATTATTTCACGTAAGTGTTTGCAAAAAATATTATCTCCCATGTTGCAGACTTGCAGTATAAATATTCGCCGCAAGGTGGCATTTGTCCAACATGCAGATTAGAGCTGACTTCAGGTGGAAAAACATTCAAATTTGACATGAAAATGTTGCATGTTTTCAAAATGGTTTCAGGGGACCATCTGGAGCATGACATGCAGAAAAAATTACATATCTGAGATAAATAATGACACACATTAATCTTCTGTGTGAAACAATGACTGCATTCACACAGCAGCTGAACACGGTTAAATTATATGGAAATATAGATTAAATTTCTTTGTCATTATGGCATGTGAAACATGTCCTGTCACACAGTTTAACAGTTAAAACTTTATTTTATATCATGGCAGGTGTGAGCACGCAGATGTATATTAGTATTGTGGGCTTCAGTGAATCTAGAGCAGGAAACAACAGACCTAACACCCTCTGAGATCCTTTAACAATGGATGATTCTGGAAGTGGAAGTAATTTGACTGACAGATGTTATTTAATGCTGTGAAAGCCCAGCCTTGGACCCAAGCCCCATCCATCCATCCACGCAGCCCACATCTCCTGCCTAGAACCTGGCCAGACACTCACTGATTAAGTCATGGTTTCATGCGTTTAGACT